CCCCCCCCCCCCCCCCCCCCCCCCCCCCCCCCCCCCCCCCCCCCCCCTCCCCCTCCTCTTCCTGATACACAACACACAGACACTTGTCCAGTTCAAAATCCAGTTGTTCGGGAAGTTACTTAAGTTATTAGGTACTCCTCGCTGGAAGAGGATGCAAAAGGAAAGATATTTCCGAAGAAATATCACTGACTGATCACATCAACACTTCAGTTTAAAACATTACAAGCTAGCTATTATGGCAAGCTAGCCAGAGCTTAACCCCTGTAACACTGATTTTTATTTATTCTTAATATCTTAACTATACACTGCTGGTGCGTTATACAATGGGCAGTGTGAAATGTCTTTGTTGGCTGGTGGCAGTCTTTTGCAAGTACTGTACTGTGTGTGCGGGTATGTGGACTGGCGACAGTCTGTGTATGTAATGTATGTAATCCATATGTTATGGCACTGTATACACTGTATGTATGTTTCCAAGACAAATTTCCTTCGGGACAATAAAGTCTATGTTACCTTATCTTATCTTATTACAAAATAAAACGACATACCAAATACACTGTTGATGAGCCTAAGTCTTACATTTACTGCCACTTAATGTTAATTAACAAAAGAATACAACAAAAAACAACACACATACAGTATATACATACATACATATATACATAACACATAAGAAAAATATATATTTTTATAAAAGATAAACAAAGGAATTTAAACAAAACAACCTAAAGGAGAAAACTAATATGATTATCAAAGGAGTGGGATATTCAATTTAAGAAAAAATAAAGGCAGAATTTTTATGACATAGTATTCCCATCAAGTTTCTCACTCAGAAATTTCCAATATAAAAAATGAAGAAGAACACAACACATTCCTGCCAGTTTATGCATGCAAAAAGATGGGCAGTATTCACTTTATACGCAGCATTTGAGTTATGTCTTTTTATAATGAGGTCAAATGTAACAATGTAATTACCTGGTAATTACCCTACATGTCATTCACCCATTCACACCCATTCATACACTGATGGCTGGAAAGTGCCACCATCCATCAGGGCCAGCCAACCATTCACACCCACACCGATGGCACAGCCTTTGGGAGCAATTTAGGGTTAAGTGCCTTACCCAAGGACACATTGACATGGACTGGACTTACATAGGCTAAAACAAATCAATCAGCACATTGTGGTGTGAATGAATGAAGTTCAAACAGCAGCTTAGTTATGGAAAACACAGAAAAACCACCCTGCACATCTTGCTAAGCAGTAGAACATCGCATGGCTGACAAAATGCCTTGGAAAGACTTCAATAACAGCAGATGATAAATGATATGTGGTTTTGGAGATGCACAGAACAACACACCCTTTGTCCCTCTTATCAGTCCTTCCTTATCATTCTATCTTTCTTCATTCCCATGTCACATGAGATGGTCTTCAACAGGATCTTAATTGGTCTTGTTTCAAAGCTTCCTTGCCACATACTCAGCTCTGTATCATCTCCCTGCAGTATGTAATGACTGTTGCCATTCGCTGGTATCTGACGGACGTTGATGCGTCACAACGGAGCTTTAGCCCGGGGCTATCTGGCATATTCATGCATTTGAGACAGACGTCATGATTTACTCAGAATGTGTGGGTGTGCACTTGTCCAGTCTTGCACTCCACACCCAGACATGGCTCATTTCCGTTACTGTTAAGAATGGAAGTTTGATGATGCATAACACGAAACTAAAACGCAAATCGTGACTCCACAAGCGTGCAATAGTCTGCCTTCATTGGCTAGACACTGCTCATGATTAAGTATTCAAATAATCCTCAGTGTGGTTATGTAATGAGCAGGTAGGTTGTCTAGGTAACAGAAATAGGTCAACATATTATATATTAAGTTAAATCCTATGAGGCAAAAGTGAATGTCTCATTTCATTTTTTTTTAAAATAGATAATAGTTTGTTCAAAAGATTTTAATATAGGTCCAGAGAGTCAAAGCTTTATATTATTATGTCCTATAGACTATTGCCCTTTTAATACTTGAGTTATAACAAAACCTGTGTTTTTTTGTGGTAAAAATAGCCAGTGTTTTGGTGCAGTGAAATAACTACTGTAGTTTGGGTAAAAGGCTGAGATTTATGAAGGCTAACTGGTTCTGTGTGTCATCATCCTGCAAACTTCAACTCTGTCTTTTCAACTAACATGAGGGTGATTCAATAATTGCTGGATTCTCATTTTGAAAATATTCCTTTACCTTTTGAGATATTTGGACTTCGAGCAGTATTTCTCTTTGGTTGAACATCTTTTTTTCATTTTTCAAAAGCAAGCGCAGATATGAAGCCGTGAATGTTTGGCTTCTGGTGTAAGCTTTTTTCCTCAGAATTACATTATGCATTTAAATGTTGAAAAGTGAAACACCCTGAATTTCAAAAACACCAGTGCAGTGTCTGTTCAAAATATGCCTTTTAAGAACGGGCTGAATGCTTAGCCTGTGGTATTGCTGCTCTCAGCTTCCTCAAAAACACTCATACAAAAATATTCACACTCAACACTGCCATTCCTTGGGCCCTCAGCAATACACTAACGACACAGTTCCGTCACACACCCAACTCACTGCTGTTCATGGTCAGAAACACTGGTGAAATACACTCTGGTTCAGGAAAAAAACTCCAGGGGCAGACTTTACTTTTAAGCAAGGTAGGCAACCTGAGCCTGAGGCCCCCAACTAAAAGGGCCCCAAACAGCTATAGATTTATTTTGATGTTTGGATATGAAAAATATTGAATTATGTTACCTATCTAAGTTATCGCACCCCAAAATAACTTACAAAGGGCCCAAAAAGCACTTAAGAAATATGCAAATCAACTGTATACTACTACCAGAGAAAGGGTGGAAAGTAAAGCATTGGATTGCGTTTGCCTGGGGCCCCAAATCAATAAATCTGCCCCTGAAAAACACACCAACGTTGTGTTAACTCGTAGTCAGAAACATCGTTGAAATACACTTAGCTGAGGTTATTTCCAAAAAGGCATATTAGTCGCTTGCTTTGACATAACCACAGCAGATATAAAGTAGCATGGATTTTATTAGCAGAGGTATTTTGTAGGTGCTAAAGTCATTGTTAATAGTTAATATCAAGTCGTACAGCGGTGAAATAAAGTCTTACTCACAGGGGAAAGCACATCCAATTCACAGTTTACTCACGGTCACCCCGGTGACATACTCTGTGGTTCAATCCTGCCTCTAGTTGCCTATCTGCATGTGTTGACATCCGGGAAAGTGAAGAAGAGTTTAGTTGTAATGTGAACTGCAGTCAATGAGCCGCGGTCTGCCCGCTTGTGTACGACAAGATGGACTCAGTCTGCATAGCCCTGAAGCTCTGAATCCCCTCCCCTGCAGCTGATTAGAGTGCAATTTGCCTGTTCATTCAAAGTTTGATATTGAGCGTGTCGGGTGTCTGCACCAAATCTTACCAAAGCACCGTCTTGGGCCCCGAGCAATAGTCTACACCCGCCGAGGGTAAAGTAAATTGAATAATATGGGAAGGACACACCTACGAACAGACACAGATTCTTTGCTTTATAGTAGATGGTCTAAACACGCACACCTGAGGGAAATCAAAGGGGATCAATTTTTGTGTTCATATTTTTCCCAAGTGATAAAAAACAAACACACACCAACCCATCTCAGCATTTCCAGATTTTCATATTCTAAAACATGACACAGGATTTTCTCTGTGTTCATGTACAATCGAAAGCATGAATAGCTAAACACTTGAAAAGCAGCAGAACACAGGGTCTTTTAAGGGCAGGTCCTTTGGGCGTGTGCAGGCCAATTAGCAGCCATTGTAAAAGACTCCCTCCCTCACTCCCTCCACCTCGCTGTTATCTCATGTTTCATGGCAGCAACCATTGTTCCTGTCTCAAAAGTCCCAGCTCTCTCTCTCGCTCTCTCTCACTGTCTCTCTCTCTCTCTGCAGCTCTCACATATATTACCACCATGAATAATCAAGAGAAGCTAGTCAGCCTTTATCACCTCTATTCTACCATGGCCAAATATCCGCTTCAGTTTGCACATTTCTCCATCGGATTCATAAAAGCACATAATAGCGGACCTTATTGCGTCCTCAAAACAGTATTGTTTGCCGACCTTCCAATTTGGACCATTTCAGTGAAATGTGAAAAGGATTTATGAATTCAAACAGGGAGGAAGATAATGAAATGTTTCAACTGACAGGGAAAATATTACATTCGCTGGAAGTTTGAAAAGTTCATGCATTGCGCAATCTGAATTAAAAACCATAAATGCATATTTTCAATTCACTGAAGTGATTTATTTGTTCGCACAATTAAAGCATGGTAGAAAACATGTAATCATAGAGCTTAATAGATATGTTCAAGGGAGGAGAAAAGCCAAAGGGCTTACACAAAGTCCTCCCCAATACATAAAAAATCTATTTAATTGTAACATGAGAGTGCAAGTTTCATATCAGTGACACAAATACAGCTTCTCCTCTCCCCTGCCACCTTTCTTCAGGAACCAAAATCTATGGTTTTGTCAGAAATCAGTTCCTGGTTCAGTCGGTGTGTGAATCGATGTACAATGAATTAAATATTGATGCAATGACTACGTCACATATCAAAAGGACTCTTGGACGCTGGAAGTCAATGACCTGCAAAACAATCACAAGGATGCACACAATAATAGTGTCAGATCAAAAACATTGAGCTATACATGGACTGTAAAAAATGATGAAACATAATGAGTAAATTGACACCCGGAAATCAAAGTCAACCATTAATTCATTTTATTAAGCTGCCCTCCTCTGGCGTTTGAACCTCCCAGCTTGCATGGCAGTAAGGGAAGGGAAAGAGTTTAGTGTTCCAGAGAAGGCAAAGTGTATGTACCGTAACGTGTCATATTACTGTATTGTTTACCAAGATGTTGTTAGACTACGTTGAGTACTTTGTTTTCTTCTTGCCCAAGTCCTGCATTTAAACAGAACGCAATGTAGACCCAAGAAAATACGGCAGCTGAATTCATGTGCAATTCAGTCATTCAATTCACCTTCATAAGTGGAAATCAGCTCGATTTCTTGGCTGGATTTATTTCCAACAGTTTATGATATCACCATGGCAAAACATGAAAGGCCGCTTCTTTAAAAGGAGCCACTCCTTTTCAGTTGCAGATTAATTATGCCCCACGGGTTTAATGAAGTATACCTGGGAATGGAAATCTAAATGGATATAACATGACAACTTTGTTGTAAATTGACCACCTTAGCATCTGAAAAAAGGCAGACTTGACATGTTCAAATTATGAAATACAAATTGTGTACCATACATGTACAGTACTGCATTCTTTGGTTAAATTAATCTGGTCATGGTTTCATCTTGTTTAATGTAAAAATTGTCACACAATGTTTTTACTCCATGAGAAATGTTACAAAGGTACAATACACCTTATATTTAATGTAGATCACTGTCATTCCAACCTGCTTTCCCTGGTTGATTAAGTTTTAATTTTCTTTTCCCAGTTCACCAATAACAAAATGCAGCAGCCAGACAAATCAATCAGATACCGTTCGTGTTCTTCGTTCTAAAAGGCTTGATTGTTGCTTTGCTTGAATTATTCCATTTATTTATTCTATTGTAATATTGTTTGTAGATCATCTGTTTTTATGCCTGCTGTTCATTTTGAACGTGATTTTTGTTGCATTTATATTCATAATTAATCTGTGTTCAACATTTCATGACATTCTATTCTCAAAGAATTGTTATGGAAATGAACAAACCCAATGATGGCTCTAGATGAAACGTAAAGAGATCACCAAAGACCTTTGCGTCATTTTAGAATGAATATCTGTACTATGTGCACCAAAACACCAATAAACAAGAGCTTTACAATTCAAGTTGAACTGTATCTATAAGAAAGCATTAAAATAAGCAAATGTACACACAGAACAGCTCATCGAGGTGATAAAAAACATGGTAGTAGTACTAAAGATCGTGGGCCTGTTTCAACTCCTTTTCTATAACCCTTATTCAGCCTGGGTCTGTACCGCTGTTGCAGTTGGAGAATTTAATGACACTTCAATCTTACTCTGACGAGCGCTCTGATGAGAGGCAGATACTAAACGACATCTGCCAGACTAAAGATTGGCCAAAAATGGGGACTTCCACAGAGTACTCAGAGTTACCCATTCCCATACGCAGTAGGAGTTGGAGTCTTTTCAACAGGAAACAAAGCCAAACCGTGAGGAGTGGTTGTACAGAGCAACAGTGAACCAAACAACAGACAGCATGTTCAGACTAGACACATACATTCTTTTGAAATTAACTTCTCTAATACTTATCACTTGCTTTGCAAAAAACCACATACATGGTATTTGTATTTATGGGTTGGATATGCAGTACATGTTCATATGACCAAAGACATATACAGCATGTTTATATATTCGGTTTCTATATGGGCTCAACATAGAGGTGGATTTAGAAGAAGGAGAACAGGGGGGGCTCAATCACTTACAGTATTTAGAGGTAGAGATGACCTAAAGAAACAACACGTAAATATGGGAATGTTTATTTGAGCATCTTTTTGCCCTAACATGCACTCTTGCACTACTTGTTCCTTGGCCCTGTAAATGCAGTTTACCATGACGATATGACCCGTATGATGTATGTTTGTTATCCAGCTCTTGCCTTTAATAAATATGTGATCTTCATTTAAATTTGTGATCTGCACTGTGTGTAAGTATATTGAGAGCTACTGACAACCACAGTAAATGTCCTTGTGTGTGTCAACATTTTTGACCAAAACGTTCATGGTAAAAAATGATTGGCTTTAAAGTGTATTGTAAGTGATGTTGATAGGTCGTGTGATGTAGGCTGGAAAGAGTCAGTTAGATACGATGCTATGCAGTATGTTCATAAAACATGTGATGTTGTTTGGAAAGAGGAATTATAAATTATGTTAGACATGACAGCATTACTGTGATCACAGTTTTTAAATTGGGATTTTAAAGTAAACAGCTGGCAGGGGGGGATGTGAAAAGCCCCAAAACAGCATGCCATCAAACCGAGCAGTAGAGGCTTAATAGGTCATAACACAGCCTTGAACAGAGCTGAAATGTTGAACACCGAGAATGCTATGGACAATATTCAAAAGACACTTTTGATATGCAAAGTGAGACATGGTTATTGACATGGGTGGGGCTGCAGGAGAAATTTGCATATTATAAATTTCTCCTGCCGCCCCAACCATGTTATTGAAGATCAAAGATTAGATCTGATTAGATTCAATGTTGTTGTTTCTGCACACAGTGAGTGCCAGTGCAACAAAAATGCAGTTTAGAATCAAACCAGATGGTGTAAACTGTAGCAAAGTGCATGTTTAAAGATGAATGAATGTCCTGAATGAGAAATTAACCAGTGGGGTAGAGAAGCATGATGGAATGTTATATCTACACACACACACACCCACACACACACACATAAAATGCAGTGGTGGAAAACATGAATACACAATGAATTCCGCCAGGCTATTTATCTAACATCTATTGTTACTTTTCAGAGATTTTAAATAAAAAGGTTACAATAAAATATGTTGTCTGTAATACAATCAACTATGCAAAAGTATGTAAAGCTGTTAAAAGCTCCATCTCGACCAACCACAACATGTATATAGTATGGCATGCTTCTTGTACTTTGGAGTAATTTGTCAAACGGGATTTCTGAAAGACAGGACTTTTATTAAATCCATTATCCTTTCCCTTAAATTAACCAATTAGGTTTGTTGCTTAATCCCCTTAACCTAAGGAGTGATCTGGTTTAGAAGGCTAACTACTCCCATGTGCATGCTTCACAATTCAATTATATTATCACAAAGCTTCTTCCACCGCAGATGATATGCCCATATGTACGGACAGAACCAGTAAATATACTACATTTATTAAAATAATATCATCCTGAAGCGAAACGTTTGAGAAAGACGGGATTGTTGGCCAAATATGACACCCGGAAATTAATCCTATTTGCATGTCGCACGTCGATGACGCAGTAACAGCAGTAGTAACGTTAGCTGTTTTGTCATCGTAGTTGTATTTTTAACCATCGACTGACTTCACAACGAAAGTAAGGTAAGGAGTTATGTTCTTTATATCATATTTACTGGTCTTTCTAGAGGTAACAGTTTCGTTTTCATGACGCAATGTGTTTGCAAGCTAAACTGACATATTTTAAAAGTTATTCAAATTGCTGAAGGCAGGTTAGCCAAAGCTGCTATA